CCTGCCCCCCCCCCCATTCAGTATGCAGATAAAAGCTGGAAAGCAATCACGCGAGTTAGTCATTGGCAGATTTATGTGATGTGACAGCCGTCTCTATTTGAAATTAGTTTATCGCCATTTTGGGGCCGCAATCGTCATAATTTAGAAGATGAAGTAATATCATATCATCAATGGAATCATCAATGGACATTAACTGAGGAATAAATATACTTGAACATTTTATTTAGTGGAATCGATATGAAAGTTGAGTACTATTTCAGTTCAACCGTATTTACAGCAAAATAGTTAACATATAACCTACACTGAAACAAAAGACAATGCATATTCAAATGAGAGTTCATAGAGCATATCATTGTTTCAGAATCGCAACGTTATTTTTGATTCGGATGTATCTGACACTGCCACAGAAATAACAACTATCAAGCAGCATGGAAAACAGAGTAGAATATGCCATATCAAAAAGGAATGCAAAGAAAGTCGTCGCTGAAGCAAAGTCTACAGCGCGCAAGAGCTATACGAAAAACTGACAACAAAGGAAGGGGAGAAAGACATCTATCGCATAGCAAAATCCAGAGAAAGACGAACAAGAGACGTCGGTAATGTACAGTGCATAAACGACAAAGCGGAATAGTGCTGACCGATTAGAAAGACAATCGTAATCGACGGTAAAAGCACTTCCAAATGCTACTAAACGAATAACATCTCAGAGAGGTCGCGGAAGAGATCCCCCAAAACCAGGGCCTAGTCGAGAAGACTTCACCAGAGGAAGTGGAACAAGCAGCCTTGAACAGAAAAGAAAATAAAAATGCCCTTGGCCCGGACGGAGTTCCCATAGAAACTTAGAAGGCACTGAGGCAAGAAGGCGTGGCTTGGCTCTACGCGCTATTCAACAAAATTATGGGATGTGAGAAAATGTCAAAACCATGGAGGCAGAGTATTTTGATGCCAATGCACAAAATGAAAGGGGGCATACTCGCCTGTGAAAACTATCGGGGAATTAAACTGCTCAGTCACACAATGAAGATATATGAGAGGGTGCTGGACAAAAGACTGAGGAAGGAGGTCGATATCACCAGAAATCAATTTAGCTTTATGCCAGACAGATCAACCACGGATGCTATCTTCGCTTTAAGATTAGTCCTCGAAACATACAGGACGTTCACATGGTGTTCTTATATCTGAAGAACGCTTCTGACTACCTAAGGCAAGTAATCGCGTGGAACATGAGAAAAAAGCTCTTGTGCCAGAAAAATATGTCAAACTTGCCAAAGACATGAATAACAGAGAGACAACGATAGTCCGAAGCACA